TTTGTAATAATTTTAAGGATGAAGAAGGAAAAATCTTATTGAATGAACTTCAGGAGCTTGATAAAAATGTATATATTTAAATATATATTTAAATGTTAAATTAATGGAGGTTACAGGCTTTGTACAGGTATGGTCTTGTAGAATCTATTAGTTGATTCATGAAATTGCTCAACAAAACATAAAATCAGATTCTTGTTAAGGAATCAGTCAGTGGTATCTATTATGGTTAATAATTATTATGACCCAAGAACTGATATGCAGAAGACACACAAACACACACACAAGCACAGTAACAGAAGAAAGTTGGTAGTAGATACAAAGCCGTCTCTAATGAGACAGCAACACAGCTCCCATCAAGCCCACATTTCACTACCCTTTTATGCAACGAGGATCTTTCCTGAACGGTATCTACCCCTCAGGACAAATGACAGCCCTTCTCTTCAACTGTTTCTCTTTAAGAAGGCTACTTAACCAGCAGAAGGGTGCTAGCGTAGCCCTTTATACAAGTATGGAGGGTGCCTTTTTGTTTACTCAGTAGAGAAATAAAACTTTTAAGGAAATAATAGATAGTGGATGGTTTCCTTGAAACCCAAAAGACATGTATTTATGGAAAATAATACACTTGGGTAAGGTAAATATAATGATCGTTTGAAAATTATTGTTTCTTAGTTTTGGAAGATGCCTCATGAAAAGGCTTGTATTTAGCCTATGGCAACATCTCAGCAGGGCATAATGACACGGGTCTCCTGGCTACCCAATCTGTGCTTTTGTGAATTCTCTACACAAAAAAGGTCACATTGCTATCAGGGGCATTTTTGCCTGTCTTAGGTCTGAGGTATCTGATCTCAAGAGGCAAAATAAAAACTTGGAAACAACTCTCATAGCCAACTGCTAAGAAAAGGCTCCTTATTCACAAAGTTATTTATTAAAATAAGTCTGAAAAGAAGGGCAGCTACAGAACTTTCTTTTCCATAAAATGTCAAATTCTTCCAGTTAGTTTCAGTGATTTACAAAGGCATTTTGTTTCATTATTCCTTGGTATTTATTCATTATAAAGGTCAAGAAAAAAAGACATTCCACTCTCAACAGTTCTTTTTTTTAGGAAAATTATTTTCAGGGATAAAATTATTAAAAGCTTTTTTTTTTTTTTTGGTACTAGGGACTGAGCTCACGATCTTGTACTTGCCAGGCAGGTGCTTGTGCCACTGAGCTAAATCCCTTTCCCCTAGTACAAGCTATTTGATAGATTGAATTGATGGTGCGTGGTGAGTTCTCCGCCCAGGTGCCTGGCCTGTGTCAGCCCTCCTATAGTCCTGCTCCTGGGCCCTCTCCCATGGACAACAGCTCAATTCCCACCTTTGAATAAATAGCCACCACACTACCCTACAGAGGGCTAGTGTCTCTCTTCTCTATTTCTAAAATGCTCGAAAAGCATTAGTGGAGTTTTAAAGGAAAAAAAAATCCTATAAGCTATTAGACTTTTTCTTTCTCTAGGAGGGAAGAGAATACAAATATAGATGAGAAAGGAAATATATGCACATTAAAAGGAACATGAGTATGAATCTCAGAGTGTGGAACCAAATTGACACACGGTAAAGTGACTAAAGCATACAGAAACTGGTCTCATACTTTCTCTATTAACTAGATCAACATGTAATATGAGTTTCCTTCTTTCTGACATATAAGTGGATCCCCTCAAACTTCAGTAGGGAAGAAGCAGACTACAAAAATCTTGGATAATGAGCTTAGGGTTTTTCAAAAATCATACACAGGTATGTAATAATGTCAGTAACTTGAATACAGGTAATGAAAAACAGAATTAAGATGTATTATATATCAACTCCACACAGGAGTGCAAACATTACGACAGCAAACATGTACCTCCATTCCCCAAAATAAATAAATAAAGGAAGGGGATCAAGAGATGGTAGTGGATGAAGAGAGGGGAAAAGAATAAAAAAGAAATTAAGATGGCTTAGGTGCATGTAGCAACTACCCAGAAGGGATGTAAACATTATGAACTAAAAACACGTTTCATTAAATAAAAAAATTCTAAAAAGAACTTGATAAAATGCACGTTAAAATACAATTTCAAAGTCAATTTCTGACAATTGGGACTAATACACACGGTTCTTGGTTACCTAGGTGTATACAGAACTGATAGGAAAATTACGGAGTTCGTATAAAGGGCTCAAAAACAGTGTTTCCACACTTTGGAGGTAAATGACTCCTGGAAATCGTCGACTAGTGAGATCAGAGCGACACAGGTAAGATTAGTCTGTCAAAGGAATGTGAGAAGAACCCAATGGAATCCAGTAAGTCTTGCCAATATGAAAAAGACATAGCCCAGTTAATGTTCTGGACTTCCACAAAAATGAAAGTATCCGTCAACAGCACACAGGAAATCCAGAGCCCCAGGGGATGTCACAGGTTACTATGGTTCAGTGACACTGCTTACCAAGAACAGAGGGTCAATTCTCAAGTCATCTCAAAATGTTTTCAGTTTATAATTTAGGTTTGTTTACAGGGAAGAGACTGTGACGTCTGCTCTGCTCTGAGGGATCTGGTCTGTTCACCAACACTGATTCGGGCAGCAGAGATTTGGGTCAGCTACTGGCTCTGCCTCTGGCACCTGTGACCTCTAACAACTGCCACCTGCAGCAACTGCTCCTGGGCCTGTTCAAGGTTGGTCCTGAGGGGGTAAGGTCAAGATGAGATGGATTCTGTCCTAGAAATGTTTCCTTAAATGATCAGTTTCTTCTCTTTGCTATTTTGGTTCGGGAGGCCACCCCTCCAGCTACGTCACCTAGGATCAACGGCACTGCGGCAGAGCTGTAGGGAGTTAACTGAGGCGGCGCGGACTCAATACTGTACTTATTTACTGCTCTTCTAACAAGAGCAGAAGATGGAGCAGGCAATTAGTCCATCAAAAAGTATTCGCTTCTATTGTTTGTATGCTAAACATTTGCCATATTTGGATATCTGAACTATAACCAGGTCTGATGGGGCTCTTTTTCTGTTATTTCCACAACTTGTGTCTAAATATCATTAAAAAAGGAACATGGCAAAATCCTCGATTAGGTCCCTATTTCTTTGGTAGCCACTTTTAAGTGAAGAAAAGTTTAAATTAAAAATGGGATTAAAAACTCAAGTAAAGCAGGGGAAAAAATGGATGTTGAAGTAATTACTTCTTTGTAACTAGAGTACTTTTCTGAACACAGGCAGAAATATATGTCAGTATATTATTTAATTCTCTTATGAATTTACAAAAGTAAAAACATTTGATGGACTTTCAATTTATTTTAGGTTTTAAATAGCTAACTGATCAGACACATGACAGAGCAATCGTGGTAATTGCTGGATGATGCAGACACCTGTGCTGTGGAGGCTGTAAAAGACTTTTTATTCAGTTGACAGGAAACAAAAATTGAAATCCGTTGCTGAATTTCAACCAATTTACGTGAATTACTTGACCCACAAGCTATGTGACCCTAAATTTCTCAATGCAGCTGCCAGAAACCTATTTTCCAAATGGAACAACAGATGGTTTTCAACAATATGCAATACAGCAATTTTCAGTTATTCCAGAGCGTTTTTCTGTTGCTAAAATTATAAACATAATAGAGAAAATAATTTTTAGATTTTTGTAAAAGACTCCACTAGTATTTTCAAAGTGAAAAACAAAGTTAAGATGCTAGTAGTTTTTAAAGCATTATCTCTAGAAGTTATTCTATTTGCTAGTTTTTATTTATCGAAAACATTACATGGCAGAGCACAGCCTTGCCTGCAACTGGGTGATGGCTTCATAACCCTGTGGTGTTTCAATCTGTATCTTTTCAAGGGATAATTTCCAACTCACAGGACACTTGAAAACTATACACTTACAGAAGGTATAGACAAATAACCAATTAATTCTAAGTGAATGACAGCTGAAGTTAAACGCTTTTGTAAACAATTGAAAAATCATGAGTTATTTCAGATGCTATTGTGAGAACATACGATAAATACAGCCAACTCCATGAGGCCACCCGCAAGATGTGTAACCTTCCGTATAAAATTTAAAATCACTTGGCAGACTACTCATTTTTCTATCCTGCAATTCAACTGAGAATGTCCCCAAGCCCTCAGTCTATACCCTCTTTCTCACTGTCTCTCGGCGCTGTGCCATGCAGTGTAAACTTGAGTACTGTCCTGTGTGGGAGTGTCACCTTGGACAGTGCCCTGGTTTCTCCAGGCACCAGCAGGCCTTCACATCAGAACTGGGCACTTTACATGAAAAAATGTAAGGCCACAAAAGGATCAGCATTTGGCAACCTGTGATAATCATTACAACGCAAAAAAAAAAAAAAAAAATCTCAGTATGTTCACGCTTTCTGTTTCTTATGCAGACCTTATCTGTACCATCTACATCAAATCAAAGCACTGTGGCATTGTGTATCTCAAATTTTGATGTACCTCAACTGAAGCAATCCCAACCAAGGTCAAGAACTCTACTTACCTATCAATGTGCTGTCTCTCATCGTACAATAAACATGACGAGAATTCAGTAACTGACCTTTTTGAACCTGGTTTCAGACAGCGTGCCATAAGATCAGAAATTAAAATTATGTTCAATCTCTTATAATGCAGAGTTGGCTACTGGTAAAAGACTATAAAGTCTTTGTTGTCATTACTCTCTCCTTCTTAGGAACTCAAAACTAAATTTAATTTTGGGCTCAGAAAGATGTAAAGATTATAACACTTACTGGAAGAAAGATCAGAATAATATAATGTAAGTACAGGGTTAATCTATTACTACTTATTTTGTATTAGCAGTAACTTTGTACCCTCACCAGAAAAGAGTTGATTAAATATTTTTAGGAGTGCCCATGTAAATATTTATCATATTTGACTAAGTATCTAGGGAACTGCAAGTAGTTGAAGCAGGAATCCTGGGAAAAGTATATTTATGTATGAAATGCATACAGCTGTGCTTAGTACGTTTTAGGAAGCAGAATTACCGCTAATGACTGGAGCTCTCTTGTCTCTTCCTCTGCTGCTGAAGCATGATACGACAGGACCTGGAGGGTGAGATGAGGAGGAGCCCACGTTACACCGGAGGGGAGGAGAGAATGCGGAACAGAATTTCAAGCTCAGAATTCTGCTGAACCTTCTTGGAGAGGGAAGTAGGCACCTCGGAGTGTCAAATCTTATCACTGCTTCTTCACAGAGTGAAAATCCCACATTGAGACTTCACGTCTAGCTTCACAAAATATAAAGTTACACTCCTTACTTTCAAACAAAACTCTGAGGACTTTCATTCTGACACTGTTGGTATAACAAACACATTAGGATTTATAAGCCCTTCAGAAATTACTACTGGCTCCAACCTGGCCTAAGATTTATTTTGAATGAGTTTTTTAATACTGACTTTATTTTTGCAGGTGTACATAATTAAGGGGAGAAAAAAATCTATTGTGTAAGCTGACATTTTAAAATTGATCTCTAGAAAGCGGTTTAGAAATAGCTCTCTGATGAGGCCTGGAGAATACTGGAGAATTCACAGAGAAAAGCTTCCTGGCTGGGATATAATGTCACAGATGTAGGATCCCTTTATACTCATCCAACCTGAGAAATCAGAAGAGCAGTGTGACTGTATGGCCACCCATCGACAGTTCAGAACACCGGGGCTTCGGGCTCTCATGACTCAGTGTCAACTGATACCCAAGGAGAGTTGTGAGCAGGAATTCCAGGATCCAGCTTTCTCCTTCCAACCTTGTGTTAGTCTCTGAAGGTTACAAGTCAGGCTCACTACCGAGAATCATCATCTCCATTTTCAAATGATCAATTTTAAGTAACAGGCTAATAATTGAGACACTGTTTTTCAGCTAGGGAAGTAGGTGCAGTTAAACATCTATCCGAATTTTTCAAAAATAAACATTGTAAAATTCTACATTGACAGACAACGTTTCCAGCCTCTCTGAAAGACTTCACTGAATCAGAATGCTCAGAAATAGGGCTTCTTAGGTCTGTAGCTACAGAAAGAAATCACTCCTGTTTCTCTTTTCCTTTGCTCATTTTAATCCTCTAGGACTGCCTAGGGGCCTTTTTTGTTTGCTGATGTTTTGGTTTTTCAAAATATTTCACAAGTGTCCTTATGGGCAGACGAGGAGACCCAGACAGCACAGTGCAGGGACAGGCCACAGTGGCAGTGGACCTTCAGTGTGAATGGATTATAGAAGTCCAGGATGACTTTCTCCAAACAAGGAAGAGGACTAAGGGGACAAGCAATAGGAATCTTTCTTTGTCACATGACCTCTGACAAGCTCCCAAAATACTGTATCCTTGTTCCTTTAGCTCCTTAATAAGGGTGAAAACCTCCCTTGTGGAAATCACAGGAATACCATGGAGGTTCAAATGCTGGAACCAGCCCACAGTGAGCTGCTAGGAGAGAAAGTAAATGCTAAGTGTCTGGCTGCAGACGGGGAGCCCGGGAACATCAGCCCACCTCTAACGTGACCATCTGCTTGGCCATGGCTCTCTCCACCGCTTCGTACATCTGCGTGTTCTGGATCCCCAAACCACAGAAGATGACAAAAGCTTCAAGAAACTGTTCATCATTGCGGTTGAATGGCTTAACTTTGCCAGAATTCTCCTCCATCTTATTAACAAGTTGGCAAACCCCTGTAACAATCCAAGAAATTAAACAAATGTTACTGTGAGTTTTCACAGCTTTTACTGGCTTTCATACACACAAAGATTGTCTTGTACTTTTCTTTTAGAAAAGCTTGCATCTCTAAATGAGCACGGGGACCTCTCCATAAATGTAAACCAGGAAAGTATACTGAATTTATTTACATGAGAACTCATTTCGCACAATCCTTGATGCATACTGTCTGCATTCAAAAAATCCTAGAGTACTATTTTCTTCCAGATTTTTAGATCAGTTGAGTCCCCAGAGACAATCTGTCCTTTGGAAACTAATTGAATTTTTGTACACTTGCCAGGAGAACAATTTTGATGCACATCATAATTTTGGGTCACAAAGACTGCCTTTCCTTACAGAGAAACCAGAAATTAAAACAACAGCAAAAAATACAATTACATACAAAATAGGATCCAGACAATAGGCAATTCATGTAGGCAGTCTTGAATTGCAAATACACTCTTTGGCATTCACAAGAATCACATTGTGGACAACTCTTAATATTACAAATAAATGCAAATAGAAATGACTATTTAGATACAAAAGCTGATCAGATCTTTCAAGAATGTCATAACCTTTCAAGTCCTGACCTCTTTTAGAGAATCAAGCTTGCAGATGGATAAGAATAGATTATGTCAACATTATAATAAATCCTTGTGATTGTTCCATGAGATCCCGAGCCCAGCGGTCACTTCATGAGAAGGAGTCTACCTCTGGATAACATACTGTTAGAGTCTTTCTCATTCTGCCTCTGAACACGCAGGACTTCTACCATATGTCCCCCAGGGAAGGTGGATGTGAACATCTCTGCTGCACCAGTAAGGAAACTGGGCATTTGCTCAAAGCCACTTAGCGTGGGTTTCAAATTCCATCCCTGGCACAGCCCGACATTACAGGCTCTCTCTCTGCAGAGCATACTGCTGCCCACAGCGCTCTGGCTGCATCTTGCTTGACCACAGCGTGGCCTCTGCCTTGCCACAGGCCTGTGCCACACTGCCCACTGCCCTGCTGCTGGCCTCTTCGTCAACCCCTACTCTTCCTTCACAATAAGCTGCTAGAGGCCTCCTGCCTTCTCTTTCCTCTGTTCTTAACGTGATCACCTGGTGCACCACGGTACATAAACGTATCTCTCTCTTTCTGGACTTGCAAGTATCATGGACTTAGAAATCTACTGGTCTTTTTTAGTTCTACTTCCTCAGCTAACAAAATGCCTCGCAGGAAGCAGGAGCTAAACAAACAAACAAAAAAGAAAACAAAAGAAAAAGCAAAAAATCGAATTAATGAAAAAAATGCAAGACTGCAGTTCTGACCCAAATTACTCCTCCATGAAGATTACAGCCTATTATTCCTTATTTTTCCCGAAGCACAGAACAATTTCATAGAGTTTGAGGATAGATGGTTACAAATTAATTTTCTTTATCACCAATGCTGTGTATTTGCTTCATTTTTAATGCTATAAATGATCTGGACTCTTCTCTTTTTTAAAAATTTGTTTACTGTAAGACAGGCTATTCTATCTATCCTAGCAGTGCAGGGAATAGTTCTCTAAGTCTGTCTCCTTACAGAAACTTTCAAACTAGACACTGAGTTTGAAGATAGAAGTAAACCCTACACACTAAACTGCAGTCAGCACTCATTATCTTGAAGACACAGATCCCATGTATGGTAAAATTCACCAAGCTTGGAGGGCCATGTCCTCCAAGCTTGGTGAATCCCCGCGACACGTGGAGCTATGTCTGCAGGACAGCTCTGGCCGTTCCCCCATCACATGTTCTTGACAGTCATGTGCGACACGCCCTTATCCTCACATCTGGGAGGAACTGCCTTTCAGTTTTTATTAAAGTTATCTTCTACACCATGGCCCTTCATTTAGAAACAAGATTTTTCTTTTATTAGTAAGAATTAGAGCACGGAAAGTACAACAAAGCAGAGCAGAGATGCGGATAGCAAGCAGTCTGCTAGACTCACGGCCTCGCTAAGTAAGTCTCCAGCCAGTGGTTCAAATCTGCCTCAGCCAAAGTTCCCCAAATTAACAAATCAAGAAATATTAATTATACCTCTGGAACTGCTCACAAATCATTTGAATGGAGTATTAAGTACAAATATCAAAAGTTTTCTGTGATGACAGTTCAGAGCAGAGCAGCCAAAATGTGTCTGTGTTGTATTCTACCACTAGAGACACAGACATACTAACTCAGAACTAAGCTCAGGGCAAGAAGGCTGAAGACGAACCTTCCATCTAAGCAAATAGTTTAATTCTCCTTTACAACGGAATGAACAGCCACATCTATATACCATTCATGATATCCCACTGATTTTTCTATATCCTATCTAATTCTATCAAGCAAAATATCTACATTAAGAAAGTCATGAAGGTTATAACAAACAAGTGAGCTTCTTCATTTGAGAAAATGAAAAGCTTGAGTGCATTGATAGATATGTTTTTACAACTACTTCACTAATGATCTGAAAGAATGAATAATGAAAATTAAAACTGTAGTGTAAAATGTCACACATATTATTAAGCCATAAAAATCTGAATCATTTACATATTAAAACTAAGTGATTGACAGGACCAAAATTTTTAAAAATAGCAAAAACCAATTAAAAACTGCAATCATAAATTAAAACAACATTCAAAACATATACTTTTTCACATTTTTTTGCAGTACGAGGGATCTCACATTTTTAATATTTTGGAAATCATTTATAATCCATAGTTTTAATAACTGATTGAAGTAATTTTGTGTTACAGATACATAAAGTTGAAGCAATGAAATGTAGTCTATTATGTACAATAACACAATTATATATTCAGATTCAGGTCCACATTTAGACTGTTTTCTTTCGTCAACCTTGCCATGTCTTCTAGCACATATACCAGTCTTGTTAATTGTTATATTCACAACATGACTTAAACATCTGATAAAGCATCTATGTCCACCAACTGATTCCTCTTATATTTTCTAGATGTAAATGTTGTAAATGCTGATGAAAGTTGATCATCCCATCCCATCTTATAAGTATATACCTTAAAACTGACATTAGTCTGTTTTAAGACTAATGTCGTTCAGTCATTCAGGAAATGTTATTTGACTTGTTAAAGATTTTAAAGTTACCTGGTGTAATTATTAGTTTCCTCATAAAGACGGTACACATTTCTGACCAAATTTACTTCTTGTTACTTTGGTGAATAGAAAGTTTTTGACACTACTGTTTTCCAACAAATTTTCTTGACATAAATATTTAAGTTATTTACCTTTAATAATTTGAAAACCAGGCCCTTTTAAAAGTACTCCCTTATTAGATAGGTGTATCAACCAATTCTCTTGAAGTTTTTTTTTTTTTTTTATCCATATGGGGGATCGAACTCACAACTGTGCACTTGCAAGGCAGGTGCTCATGCTAAATCCCCAGCATTAGAGTTCTTTATTTAACAAGCATGTCACTTTTGAGTTATTTTATTTTGCCTCCTCCTTTTCTGTATCTCTTTATTTCATCTTCTCTCACTGCCTTGGCTAGCATTTCCTATGAGTAATAGTTTTTAAAAACAACTTTTATGTAACTTTCTCAATTGCTTCCATGAAAAATCTTAAACTCTAATTAATAATGATTACCATCAATTTTTATAAAATATCTCCATTTCACCAAAATGTGTTATATACTTAGTACACTGTATTATCTAAATTCTTTTACAATTTCTTCTTCTTCTGAGGTTACATTCCCTCTCTTACTCCTGTTCCTGATTCTTCTCTTTTACCCTACTTATCTGTGTCAGATGTTTATTATTGTTGCATTTGGTCATTACATCTTGTTTAACTATCTTTTCCCGTTTCAAAAATTTATTTTTTTTTCCAGTTTCTCTTCTTGCTTTCCTTCTTCCTATTTATTTTGGAGAGGCAGCAGAAAGGACTGGAAAGAGTGATGTTTTTGGAATTTCTTCAGTTGAGAGCTTGGCTAAAATAATTTCATTATTTCTTGATTAATTATAACAAAATATTTAGAGATACATATTTTCCCTCTGAGTACAGCTTTGACTTTGTGCTTTGAGTAGCTAAGCTATAGTGTTGCAACTATTATTTTTGTAAAATTTTGCTCTTGACTTTTGATTACTTCTTTGTCATTTAAAGCTTTTCAGGTTGCAAGTGAGTTTCTTCCTTCCAATGAATCCTTTTATTATATATTTTTACTTTTAATGCACTGTAATCCAAGAGAGTCTTTCAATCCTACTTTTCAGAAATAGTGATTTTGTGTTGTATGTATGTCATCTTTACTTTTTAATTTCTGATGGATATTTGAAAAGAATTTATATTATCAAAATTACAAAACATAGAAGTCAATCTACACATGGAAAATAAGTCCAATCAATTCTCTCTATTAATCAATGATTATTTTTCCTTTCTTTCTATCCATAGTCTAATACTTGTAAGAAGTACTCTTAAGGATTCACTATAACCATAGCTACAATTTTTGTCTATTTCTCCTTGTAATTTTTAATAGGCTTGCTTTTTATATGCCAATGTTGGTTTATTAGGAGAATTCATAAGAATTATATTTTTTTGTAGGTTTTAATTTTAAATAAGGTAAAATAACCCCTTATATTGTTTTTATTTGAAATTCTAATTTGCTTGATATAATTAACTGTCATCTCTATGTTTTGCCCATTTTGTGTCAGACATGTTGTTTTTGAGACAGGGTTTCGCTATGCAACCCACGTTGGCACTTGAATGCCCAGGCTGGCTTTGAACTCACAGTTCTCCTCCTCCTACCTTAGCTTTCTCAGTGCAGGGATTATAGGCATGTGCCACCAGGCGGGCAAGATTTTTTTTGTTTTGTTTTTGGTACCAGGGATTGAACTCATTGCAAGGCAGGCGCTTATGCCGCTGAACTATTTCCGGGCCCAAGATATGTTCTTAGAAATGGCACATTTAAAAAAAATTTATCAATGTTTCTAGCCCAAAGTAGACATGCTTCTTTGTTTTTTATTACTACTGTAATGTTTTCCGTTTCCTTCATAAATTCAAGACACTCTAAATTTTATTTTTACTATTTAGATTTTCACTTTGATAATTTTAGACTATCACTTCTTAGTTTTGTTTTCTTTCAATTATCACTGTTCCCTAGAGTTTCATTTCTGACACTTAACTAAGCATAATTTACAATTCTTTAACCAAGAAAAAAATGTGGATACTTTTAGAAGTAATAGAAGCAACATGTACCATGGAAAATGATGAATGATCTACTTATATTTCCATTGGAAAAATAATAGCAAATATTTCATAAGCTAATAAACAGAGATATTGCCAGTAAAAAAAAAAAAAAAAAAAAAAAAAAAAAAAAAAAAAAAAACCTATGTAAAGAACAGAATGCTATGAAAGTCAAATACAAACTTGTATGACAAAACATTTATTTATGCCTTGGAGTGATATTGCAACACATGGGTGAGTAGATTACCTTTCCAAATACTTATCTAAAGGCCCTCACCAAGCAATTTACTAAGCAAAGCCAAAATAATTCACAGAGGAGATAAGAGTGACAAGTAATTCAAAGCCTGAGGCCTACAAAGAACATCCTGTAGGCATTAAACACCGCCCACATTTTTTTGATAGTGAGCTAAAATAAGCTGCTTTGGTAGCATCAGAATCATGCAGGTCCTTGGGGAACACAAACGGCCCAGAAGAACAAGTTAGGGCTCAGAACAGGAATAAATGTCTTGGGTGTGTATTATCAAGTGTTCCATCATAGAAACACACTCCAACTAATGTAGGTGGTCGCCATGTTGGTAGGCAATAGAATCTTAACAGCCCACAGTCCACTGTCAATTAAAGCATCATTAATGTGGTACATGATTGTACAGAAGACTTACAAAATTCACTGCAAAACTCTCAACAGTCTGCTTATGGTGTAGATGAGATAGAATTAGCATTGCTACAGTTTAAAAGAGCACATACTCAGAAACAATATGTTCATCTCTCATACTTCTTTTCAAATGAGGCACTACCCTGTGTACAATTTTTACTTTTATTATACTTATTTTACAGTGACATTTAATAAGACAGAATATAAACTACTTAAAGAAGGTATTCTAAACATATTTTAGGAGTCCTTTCGGGGAGAGGACTGAGAATGGGATTAATTTCTTCAAAACATGTCTTGCAATTGGTATGTAAAATAAGCATTAAAATTTCTGAATATGTGTTCTAAAAAATTAAACTTTTTTTTTGGTACTGGGAATTGAACTCAGGACCTTGTGCTTGTGCCAGCAGGAATTTGTGCCACTGAGTCACATCCCCAGCTCTGGTAAACATGATATAGGGAACAGGTATTGTTAGCCTAGTAGAGAGGAGAAATCACTGGTTAATACCAATGAATAGTGAATGAATTTTTCCTTGATAGTGTTGGAAGCAAAGTGGAAACACTGTATTAGCCAGTATCCTGACGAAACATTTGTTAATGTGAAACAATACCTCAGAGAATAAATCTGATGATACAACAGGCTCCGTGATGGTCTAATGTCTCTAATTTCATCTAAATGTCAGTAATAAAAAATGAGGAGGAAGGAAGGAGCTAACAAAAACCACATGGGCTCATCTGCCTTTCTGCATGTAACTCTATGGGGATTCTCTATTAGCATTACGTAAGAGTGGAACCTGGCCTGGGCTATGTTAAGACAAATTATCTACAGTCAAGATATTTTCCACGCTGTATCTGTGGGTTTGTAAGCATAGCCGAGAACTCAAATCCTTACTTTTGGCATACATAGAAAATAGCAGGAAACACTGGAAAATTTCCCTCTGATGCTGGCTAACTGAATCTCATCTCCTGGTCACACAAACACATTTTGGAAACTATTTTTTCCTTTCTTTTAACTTGCAGGGAATTCGTCTTCTCAAAAAACAATATTTGGCTCTGTTATCAAGTAGAGTAACACAAAAAATATATGCCAAGGAATTTCTGATTCTTCCAACTGTTATTTTTAATTTTTTTCTGTTCGTTTGTCTGAAACAGTGTGAGGCTCATGGAATGTGAATTTTGAACAGATCTGAAAGGTTATTAATTGCACAGAGAAGGCTCAGGTGCCCATAGCATTTATGTGCCGAATTAAAGAGTGTCACGCTGTCCAATCCAGTGCTTTCTGCATGTCCTTGAATTTGCCCACATTTACTGCATAAACACAGGGATAAACAACTTTGCATAACTTTCCCCGAGGCCCTGTTATTCTAAAGAGACAGAGCTGAGAACAAATGAAGAGGTAGGTGACTTGATGGAGTAAGTTGCCATTCTGGTTCCTTCTTATGTCAGCTTACTAGGAAACATCACATCTCTTCTGCAGTTCAACTTGACATATTTATTGTGAAGGTCAAAGTCAGCTTGTATAACTTCTTTACAACTATATGAAAAAGCATTTAAAAAAAAAAAACATAATATATTTTCCCCTGGACCACCCTAGGAAAAAAGATTTTATGACAAACAGTAAGACTTCCTTTGGTATTGTATCGGAGGCACCTTTTCTTGTTCTGCTTATTTGAGACAGCTGGTGGGTGACAATCTTTAGGACTGAGTGTCCATTTCATTAGCCTTTACTTTTCTCTCTAGCCACTACAAAGGAGTGCAGCTGGCCACACAGCCCAGGAGAGCCGGCCTGCAAGCATCTAACGGGGTTACCGCCTCCAAGTCACCAGCTACATATGCTGAGAAACAAGACTGGTTTGCTGACGACAGTTCCACCTCTCTGGGGACTGATAGAAACTAAGTTGATGATACTGACTTATAAAAGTGGGATGGCATTAATGTACAACAAGAATCATCATCCCGAACAAGAACACGTGCGCCTGCAGCTCAGGGCATTAAGTCCAGTTCACTAATTTACTATAGGAAACAACTGTCTAAGCAACAGTACACTCGAGAGGATACGAATAATGGATTCTCTTCCTATGAGCTCCCCCGCACTGGAAAGAAAAATAATCAGAACAAGGGAAGTCAAACCGGTGTGCCTGCAAGGAGAGCAAGGGATGGCGGATTCCTGGAATGCTCAGCGGCATGAAGCGGATGTATCTGTCTCACAATAAGACCATGCGTCAGCACAGGGAGGGCTTGCTGAGAAATTACTGGCTACAACCTGCTGCATCCATCTGCACCCAAGTGACGGCTTGCTGCGAGGTCAGAACACACAGTGCACACTGATAAAACTCTCCGTGTTCACTGCCACTTTGGAGAAAATGTTTCCTCACCTCCGGACAGAACCTACACGAGCACTTTCAATATCTGTAGTTTTAAAAATTTCAGGAATGGTATCACTTGTCCTCTCCTCTGTCTGATATTCTCCTTTAGTAAAACCAGCCAAATCTTCTCACCTAGAAACTATTCAGATCTTTAAAGGTAATTTTATATACCTATGTGTTGCTCCAGTAACGCTTGAATTTTAAAATTTAATCTTTAGAGAAAAAAATTTTTTTTGAGACAGGGCCTCTCTCTGTAGTTGAGGCCAGACTTGAACTCACTGGGCATCCCAGGCTGGCCTTGAACTTGATGTGATCCTCCTGTCTCAGCCTCTCCAGTGCAGGGACTACAGGTGTGTGCCACTATGCCTAGACAAAACGTAATTTTAGAAGGGACTTAGCCTTCTTGTACTTTCCAGTTTCTTGGGGGGATATAAACAGGTCAGACTTATTTTTACAATGTCAGTCATAGATGACTGACATATTAAATTACGTATTTCCTGACAGATGAATGCAGTTTAATGGAAATACTCTGTTTTTTGAGTCTGTATTATGCCACCATTCCTGAAGTAAATAATTTTCTCTAACCTGCATATAAGAATGCAGGATCCTGAGGGCAGGGATTTCTGCTTTGCTCACTGATGTATCCCAAGTGCCTAAAGCAGTATACTCAATAAATATTTATTGAATGAATAAATGAATATGACCTACAATCTACACCACATATTTAAAAAAAAACCCAGAAGTAAGACTCTAAAGCAGTACACATTATCAACTTGGTGTCTCTTTTCATCTACTCAATTTCAATATATCACTTTTACAAAATTCTTGTGAAGCTGAATTATAGTAATTGCATAAATACATAGTACAAAAACAAAAAATATGCCATCTGGCCTTTATCAACACAAAGTTCTTTTATCATTCTATTTTTATTTTTCTCAAATATTTAATTCTCTAAATTTACATTTGAAAGAAAGAACTACCCAAGCATACATTGTTTTTAAATAAGTGCGGAGTACAGGTTAACAAAAAGGCTTTACCTATGACTTTATTCTTCTTCCCATTTTTTATAGGTGTACAAAGCAAACTTCTAATGCACTGCTGGTTTACATTTCCTGTGTTTTCATTCTAAACAAAAACAGAAACAAGACAAAACAGCTAAAATGATAGGGATTCATTTGTCTAGATGCCATATTACCCAGATGGCACATTTGAATCTAATACAGTCATCTCTTATTAGCCACATACAAAATTAAAATATAGAAAATGTCTCAATCACAAATTAGTTCACAGAAGCACAATACAAAGCCATCGGCCTACTTGATTAAAAATGGTATTCTAGATTTTTTTCATTGTAAACTTCCCAAGCAGTTTATCGTAATGTTAAATGAAAATATTTATTCAGTATCTGCTCTATCGGTGAAGTCGATGCTTCCATTAACGACACTGGCAGAATCCAAAAGCATCAAGCCAACCAGGAAACTATGTACAACAAGCATGTCCTTCTTCCACCACTGTGTCTGGTGCCCACACTGGTAAACTCTGAAAAAGGTGCCCTGATATGCAAGCAGCAAAATCAAGACAGATGCTTCAAAGAGCAATGCTTTTCTAAAATAAGATGAAAGAAAATACTAGAATTCAATGTTGTCTGTGTCTGAGGAAGACAGATCTTCATTGCCTCACTCTGAAGGAAAGCATATATCCATTTTCTCAGAGACGCTCACTATGGTAGATATGCAAATTAAAACCAAATGAAACTTCATTTTTGAAGATAAAATAAAAAGCTCCAGCAATACTGTTTAAGAACTACCAAAGACGTTATCTAAATTATTTTACAACTGGTATATAATAGTTGATTGATACACATTTAAAAACTGGAAAAAGTCAAGAGAAAAATATTCCTATGTAGCTCACCACATGTTCTAAGCTATTCTATTCCCTTTTGTTAGATCAGGAAAATACAGATCATCCTAATCAGCATTTCTAGAGCTGGTCTTTCAGCTGCAGAGAGCTCTAAGTACAGGTCTGATGGGAAAACAGCCTTCCAGCTCCAAGGCTAACACTGGACTACTTACCGTCCAGGGAAACCTTTTGTCCTTGCTGACATCTGGGATATTAAGTGGTTCCATAGTGTTTTTCACATACTGAGCATACATGTAATTGATTTTGTTTGCATCACGTTCCCTGTGGAAATAACAGATATGAGTTCCTTCTGTGCAGTGAGAAAACACGAGCAAATGGAGTTAAATAAATGACGAAAGAGAAATAACATCAGTCTTAATAGAGTAAAAATTGTATCTTAGTCGGAAAGCACAGCCCTTGCCCCTGCTCGGTACTGAGGATTGAACCCAGGGTCCTGGCACTTTGAGCTACATCCCCAGCCTCTAACAAACAAACAAACAAAAACTTTTATTTTGAAACAGGATCTCATTAAGTCATGTAATTCCTCAATCAAAGCAACTCTATCCTTCGGCCTCCCAGAGAGCTGGGAGTGCAGGCATGCACCACCATGTAGTTTTAAATACATTGATAATACTATAACTTAGGTGGTTTGAAAAGATAAAAATTCACAATTTTTCAACTATGTAAAACAAAAATGTAATTAGAAATCTGATCACAGGTGGAGCATCTGTAACCTAAAAATGCAGAATCTGAAGATATAAAAAGATTCCAAATCCAAAACTTTTGAACACTAACAAGAAGCTGCTGCAAGGGGAGAACTGTACACCTCGCCTTCCGTGGCGAGGTGCAGCTGCAATGCAGGCAGGTTAAAGTGTCCTATAAAATTACCTCCCGGCTCTGTGTGTCAGGTGTATATTAAACATAAATGAATTCTGGCCTTATTCCCAAAGTATCATATTAGGCTTATGCAAATATTCCAACATAAAAAAAAAATCCAAAATCTATCGTATCTCTGGCCCCCTGCATTTCAGATAAGGTACAGTCCATCTGTGCCACTGAAGATGTCACTTAATGGGAAATTCATCTGGGTATCTCCCTGTTCTTATTTTCTCATAGATTACAGATTACAAGGTCTAGTGCTTGTACATGTTTAATTATTCTATGTATATTTATGCAATAAAACAACCCTGGGCACATTCTGTGACCAAGAGAATTAGGAAGCGGCCTAGAGTTCTTACAAAGCTCTCTTCTCTAGCTGAGTCTTTTTCTCATTCCCTTTCCTTGCCTCTTTTTCCTGAACATACTCCCCGCGGTGCACTTTCATCTCCACATTTTTTCTGCTTTGAGGTCTTTTATGACACTTTTTAAATCAAAAGTTCACCGTCCTCCAATTTTTAAAGGGGCAGTATTTGCACCAGTGTTTCCAGTCCCTTGAGTACCAGGTTGAACTGTAAGTGTAACTCTGGTGTCAGAGGGCACGAGGTCAGTTCCGGGGAGGGGACACAGGACAGAACATGCTTTCATCAGAAAACCCCCGTTTCCCTGGGGCTCGGGGTGCACTGGGCAGCTGCCCCAAGAGTAAAGCTGGGCCTGTCTCACTTGTCAGACCACTAACTGAAGAAACAGGGAAGACCGGTAGCAGTAAATACTTAACAATGAAATCCACGACTCAGGAAGTGTCCACTTGTTTCGCCTTTTTGAAGTTCCAGGATTTTACCTTCTGTCCTTTGCACTGAATGGACCCAAGCTGCTCGCTGGGTCAGTGGTTTCATACTGTCTGGGCCTCATTCTTGGCCGAGATATTTGACATTTCCCTTTCTTTACTATTTATTTTAGCTTGAGAATAATTTAGTCAAGCTGAGTACTAATCGCCGGCCAGGATTATGTGTAAGTAGGAAAAGAATGTAAAGAAAATATAACAGAAGAGTAGCAGAGGACTAAACGAACATTAGATGAATCGTGTCACCAAGAATATACTGATAATCTGAGAAGCCACACGAGCCGTCGTGCGTATCAGACCAGATCACACATTCCGGTGTCCTGTTTCCTACACGCCAGCTGGATGACATTCAGGAAGAGGTTATGAGGCAGGTACAGGCTTTAGGTCAATAAAAGGAGGTCCAAAATCCCAAATGCCTTATCAACAACAGACTAGGAGGAAGAAAATAAGAAGCAGCTGTAGCAAAGATAAGGAAAATAAAAGCATAGTTCCCAGGAAAGAGAAGTACACTGGACAAGGAAGATGGCTTTGCATAAATCTCTTGAAAAATGGTAATAATGATAATAAGTGCTACTGTTTTATCTCCATCACTGTGTTAAAGGGGAGCCAGAAGAAACCCAAAACGCTTAAGCAACTTGTCAGAGATCGTAACTTCTGACTTACAGGAGATGACAGAGAAAAGTACTAAAAATTACTGATGAACAAACAGATACCTAATTTCTTTTTTAATCTCCTGGAAGCTTTAAATTTTCCTGATGATGACTTTAGTGGAAAATAGCTTTTAAATATGAGGAGTTGTACATGTTTAGTTTTCACTCTGTAAGAAATGGTAATTTCTTCATTCTTACACTCAATACACACAGTTTGAACATCTGTTCTCTGAGGGGCCCTCTCAGTACTCTTGGAGTAACACAAGTCCTGCACATCTGTAACTGGCACCGGAGCTGTCAGTCCAGGAGAAAGCCGAGGCAGAGCGGGTAACGGAATGTTTCCATCACGGGCACTGTCTGGGTAGCGTCTAGTGCAGAGCTGCCCACTGTCCACCAAGAACACCTTCTTCCATTGTCTGGACACGGCCACTTACAATAAGACCGACTGCATTTCTCAGCATCCCTATAGCTCAGTGTCACCACAGGACTGGGTTCCGATCAATAGGATGTAGGAGGCATCGCGTGTGACACTTCCTAACAATCCACCTAGGAGATGCTGATGAATGTTCTCTGCCCATTGTTCCCCTGTTCTGCACTCTACCATTTAAACACTGCTATGATGGCTGGAACTGCATCCCAGATCCTGAGTGGAAGGGCTCAAGATGCAGGGTAGGAAGCCCCAAGGTACCTGGCTCCCTGAAGGCTTGTACCACCCAGCTGGAGCACCAGTCCCAAGCTGCCTCCCTCTGGACTTTCATTCTTGTCTTAGTTATTTTTATTGTGAGTTTTCATGATTCACAGCTGGTAACAATGCAAACGCCAAACACGTAAGAAAAGATGGACACGCAGCACCTAATGGGATGGATTAAGGAGGACATGGCATTGCAAAAATGCACGAATGGCTGGCCGAGTCTTCAAAAGGAAAAAAAAAAACCCATCAGGAATGAAAGGGGGGGTGGTGGAAATAAACAGGGGAGAAAAATAAAACCAGTGCAAAACACATCACTGAAGTTGCAGAGTCCTATACATATTTGGAAAACACTAAACAGTCACAGATTTGTGTCCGGAATAAAAAAAATGATGCCTATGTTTTAAAATGTTAGGCTGAGAAACACTAGAAGACTTTGACAGTGCAGTGTAACGAATATAGATGTCATCATTTAAATAACAGGAGAACCACAATAGCCTTGCGGGTGTGTCCTCCTAGCGCTGTGAGGGCAGGAAGCAGAACCCAGCACCCTCTGGGTTTGCTGTGCTCCGGAGCCCAGCAGCAGCTTGCACAGAGGCCATGCCCCTAGGCTGCACCTACACTGAGGCAAACCACCAAGTATAAAACGTAGCGTTATTCCTGGGAGACGCAGGACTCCACGTTCAGAAAATTTTGGCCAGAGAACCTCCCAATGGCCTTGCCAAACTTCCCTTAACACTCAGCCGTCTGAGACACTTCTCTACCACCTCTCCGCATTATAACCCTGCGTAATCTGGGTCAGAATGTCGTACTGGGCTCATGGCTCTCTGTTCTCTCCTGGATGCTCTCGCTTAACTTTTGCAGGGTATTTCTCCTGATAGATTTCTGCACATTTAAACTAGTCTTGGTATCTGCTTCTTGGAAAACCTAGGCCAAGGCACACATCTAAGTGCTCTGCATATGGTATCAGTACTAAGAGTGAATTCCTGAGAACATAAGAATTAGGGGCAGGGAACTTAGAAGCTGTTGTAAAAAATTAAATAGGAACCATTCAGGTCAGAGACTTAAAATATATCAGAAACACAATACTAATAATAACACTTAATGAGAAGCTTTCTGAAGCATTTGCTGAAGCATCCATTCAGTCATTGCTACAATTCTGTCATTACAGATAAGGAAACAAGTTTCCAGAGGTTAAATAATTACACCAAGATCTACAGCTAGTAGGTGGTACGTGGTGGTATTTAAATTTAAACTTCGTCTGGTGTCTACTCAATGACATTTCTTTTTTAGCTTTTTTGAGGAATCTCCACTTATAAGCACAGTAGTTGCACCAGTCTACACTCTCACCTGCATGAAGGGTTGCTTTTGCCCCACAAGCCCTCCAGCATTTGCTATTGGTTGATTTCTTGATAGCCATTCTTTTTGGATTGAGTTAAATCTCAGTGTTGTTTTAATTTGCATCTCTTGAATGACCAGTGAAGCTGAACATTTTTTCACGTATTTATTTGCTATTTGTAGTACTTTATCTGCGAAATGTTTATTTATTTCAGACACCCATTTTTGATTTGGATCTTTACACTGTGGAGGGGTCTGATTTTCTTTTAGCTCTTTATATAGGCTAGATATTAGTCCTTTGTCTGAGAAACAGCTGGCAAAAATGTCTTTCCCATTCTGTGGGTTGTCCTTTATTCTGTGGTTTCTTTTGCTGTGCAAAAGCTTTTTAACACAACGAGAGCCAAAGGATTAATTTCATGTATCTGTCACTTTCTGATGAAAATGTGCTAAACATGTTTTTATAAAGAACGTAAAGTTAATTACCATGAAATGGTACAACTCCATATCCATTTCTCCACAGAAAGAGCTGATACGAGGTGCGGGTCACTTCTTTCTTCTGACTGGGCGCCTCTATGAACCCATCACAGACTTCCTGCCGCCCAGAAATGGGCCTTCCTCTGGGAATTCCCGGGCACCCAACGCCCAAGGCTTACTGTTACCTCCCACTAATGACATGAACCATATAACCTTGACTTAATAGCTCAAAACTATGGTCAATATATTTCTTTAAGTTGGAAACAATAATTAGTGGATTGGTTTGAGAAAACACAAGAATTATGATTTCCAATTCATAAAAACTACCTAAAAAAATGACTTACTAACTCCTGGCTCCTCATATCTCATCTTGAAATGTGCTTAGTAACAAGAATTGGAACACCAGGTGTGGTGGTGTGAGCCTGTAATCCCAGCACTAAGGAGGCTGAAGCAGGAGGATCACTATAAGTTAGAGGCCAGCCTGGCCTACGTAGTGAGTTCAAGGCCAGCCTGAACTGCATAGGGGAATCCTGTCTCAAAAAGACACACACAAACACAAAATTGGAGAGTGTTAAATTCAATCCATAATCAACACTAAGTATCAATATTTGTTTAGTTTTTTTCAAAATGTTGAGGTTACTAAACACTGGTTCTAGTTCAGTTTTTATAAAATTAGCCTGACATTTAACTTTATTAAAAATTAATAAAAATTTTATATTAAGTTTTAATAAAATATTAAGGGACACTAATGTAGTCACTTTTTATAAAAAAAATCTTTGTACTAAGACTGTGAGGTCTTGGAATAATTAAAATATTGTAAGTGGGAAAATACCTTTCACTGGATTTACAGAGAACACTCAGTACTAGATGATATTGTAGTGATAATAAATTTTGATTAAAATATATTCATGTAAGCTAGTAATTTTAAGTCTTGGGCATCAGTAGTTTCAGAAAAAAAATCACGTACCTAGATTTTTTGTTTTTGTTTTTTTTTGTAAAAAAAATATACATTTACCAGTAGAGGGCGCTATTGTACCAGGTCGCTGGACCTGTTCAGCTATCACTAGAAAGACTAAAACACAAACGAAAGAGAAAATACAATCACAAGGTATACAACTGCTGCATAACTATTCAAACGTAAATCTAGATGATTAATTATTTTATACATTTAATAAGCATTATCATGCCAATTTTCCTACTGTGCACTAACAATAAATATATGTAGATATACATTTTCATATTAGGCATATTTATCTTTTATATACTTCATTTTATGTATGAAGTTACTTGTAACTCATACAATCCCAAAAGTAAAATATTCAAATACTGCATTTAGAACTTTATCTAGAAGTGTTCTGAAAGTCTTTTAAAAGCAAGAGTTGTTATACTATCAAGTCAAGATAATCTCTTTTGCTTCTCCTAAGAAGAGGCTTCACAACTGAGATTAGGGCCCTACACAGGGAATCGCCACAACTCCAGGACATGCACCTAGTTTCACACGTTCACGAAGATTCAGCACTAAGCAAAGTGATTTCAGGTGTGCCAGAGCACACAGTGACCAGAGGCTCGCGGAGCTGGCTCTTAGCTCCTTGCCCTCAAGGCCACGAGGGAAACAGGGCAGCTACTTAGCTGTGACCAAGGGAACCCCAAACTCCAGGGTAGCAGAAAGATCTCTGGAAAGAGACCGTGGTCTACCTGCCGTGACTCTGCACTCCGCACCCAAGTCAGCAGGGATGGCTGAAGTCAGGTCTGAGTGTAGTGGATTCCTTCAAGTTACATTCCCAGGGCCCACCCTTTGGTTAACCCAAATACTCTTTAAGGAGGAAAAAAGGTCCTTCCTTTATTGGTAAGCAGCAGTCTAAGATTTAAGTACACACACTTGAACTAACAATTTTAACTCACTGGGGTCAGTAATTCCTCCTTCCCGGTGGGGTAGGACTTCTGAGGACTGGAGGTGTGAGAAGAGATGGGATGGAGGATGAAAGCTAAGGGCACGTCCACAGGGTGGGCGCAGCCCTCACAGTGATCTCTGGGGCCAATCCTTCTTAAGAGGCTCAGAACAAAACCAGCCCGTGCTCCGAAGTCTTATGTCCTTGCAGTTGTAAACCCATGTAGTACTGATTTTTATGATCTAAGATTATTTTTCTTTTATTTTGTTTCGTACTTTTCATTACAAACATTTTCTCCCTTTGTTTTTTATGGTAAACCACTGGAATAGACAGGAAAAGCAAAAGAACCCTAAAAGTACAATGAACACAGTCCTCCTGGATTCAGCATTTAAAGTTTTTGCCACATTTACTTTATATTATATATACGAAGATGTATTTATCTAAATTTTTAAAAATTGTTTACTTACTACCTTTGGCTGAACCATTTTAAAGTCAGTTGCAGACACCATGATGCTTTGTCCCCACATATTTTAGCCTAAGTCTCCCAGAGACAAGACATTGTCCTACAGATGCCACTAGCTTCTTAATTTCAAAGAAGTGGAAGGAAAGTCCCTGTCCCTGGCTAGTGTCTGGTCCACAGGAAGATTTTCAATTGTCCACAAAAATGCTTTGGGTAGTTGTTGTTTTGAACTACCAGAATTTGAACAAAGTACAGGTATGGCATTTGGCTTTTACGGCTTCATAAACATTAGCATTTACCCACTTTATTCAAAGATGCTCACTGCCTGCAGAGACAGCCACTTGTCCAACAGAATGTGGCATATAGATGTATACAGGGGTTATTTTAAAGGCACCATCACCTAGTTGATTTATAACACGCCATACATTGTCTTCTCTAGTGAAAATGTGGAACTTTAGTATTAAAAGTTAAAAGCTGTGGGAGGGGCTTTCAGTAGTAATAATGAGGGGTATTTACCAGAAATCAAACTCAGGACCTTGCACTTGCCAGGCAGGTACGGTGCTGCTGAGCTATATGCCCGGCCTTAAAATAGCTTTTCAACACACGAAATATAACTAATATGACATCATAGCCAAGAATCCATGATACCTTATCTTGGCAGATGTATATTCCTTAGAAGTTAAATTTCTTACTATTACCCTATCATTTATCAAACAGTGCTAAATATCTGCTAAGGGGAGTAAAATGTGAGTAAAACATTTGGTGGGTTCAATCTTTTCTAAAAGTAGTGCATCCAAAATTGGGACAATATCATCTGAATCCTCCATCGTACAAATATATTAGATTGTTCCTGAGGAACAGTTATTAGCGAAGAAATGAACACAAATTTAAACAAAACCAAAAACACAGAAAAGAACTAAATGACAACAGAGATCTAATACAATTTATTGATAGTGGGAATGAATATTTTATGACCAGGACTATAAGCTTTCTTCTGTTACTAGTTAAATCTTAATGGCTAATTCCAAATCAAAACAAATTTTAACCTACTAGAGAATTATTTCATATAGAAAATGGTGTTCAAATTTGTGTAAAGCTAGGTAGAGTATTATTGTGAATAACTGCACTTAAGATTCACATGTACTAAATTTCAATTATGCTTACAGAAGACTTTGGTCACAAATCTATGAATTTCCAGTAATGCTCTGTGTGTTAATCCTGACTGTTAACCTAACTACCCTGCAGAGACTCACGAAGAGCTGACCCGATGGTGAGGGCACTAACCTCCCCCAGATTGTGAGGGCACTAACCTCTCCCGGGGGTTCACCCACCGAGGAGCTCATAGCTGAGGGGGCTGTTGGGAAGAAGAGCCCAGCAGGAGGAAACGGGTCCTGGGCATGACGTGGCGCCCCTGGCCTTCTTCTCTGGCACTCTGCCCTCACTCCCTGCCCCCAGCTGCCACACTAAGCAGCTTTTTCAGCCCTGCTCTCCTGCCACGCCGTTTCTGCCCTCAAGCCAGCTGACCACGGACTGAAGCCTCAGAAACCGTGTGCCAATGTAAATCCTTCTCCTTTAGATCGTGTACGTTAGGGATTTTGCCCCAGCAACAAAAAAGTGACCAGTACAGATCAATTATTCAAAGAAAAAAATGTAACTGAAATGAAGTAGTTCACGACAATACTATTATACTCAGCCCTACACTCACGGTAACACTGTTCACTGTACGGAATAATTCTCAGGTAGATCAGTGTTATGGGAAGACACTAGAACTTTTAATACCAATAAAATACTCCAACAACTAACATTATTTGTGTGTGTGTGTGTGTGTGTACGTGTGTGTGTGTGTGTGTGTGGGAATAGAGCCTATCACACCTTGCATCAAACTGGGAATGAAACAACAATCCTGCCAGTATAATGGATATCCATGATACAGACAAAGAATGTTAACTTACCTTGTTAAAGGATCAGATGTTTTTTCTAATTCCTCACACTCCATGTGAAACACACTAGAAAAAGAATCCTGAAAACAAAGTGATAGCACAGAGAGAGAAATAAATTTGATATGGTAATGAAACACATACGCATACACATGCTGCAGAATTCACTAAGGCACCAATCCTTATAATATACTTAAACTGATCCCCAACTGAACAACTGGTCCATGTACTCATTAGCAACATCCTCCAAGCTACCCATTATTAAAGACTTTGATCAGATTATTTCTGATTTTCACTCATAAGCAGGCTTGAGTACCATTTCATTTGTTTTTTTCCACCAGTTGCTAGTGTATTAGTTTCAAAATGTCTCTACACTTGTTTAAAATCTTCAAGTTTGGGTTTTTAAGCATATATTGATGAATATTATTGAATCCCAGGAAGAGAATCCCTTCTTAAAGTACATTCAGTAATATTTTATGAGATCACTAAAAGAATGCTGAAGTCTTCAGTAACACAGTAATATTTCTGAAATTACTTTAAGAAGGAAAATTCCCATTTGCACCAATGGTGTGTTTACAACTGGTTAAAGACCAATAGGAGAGAAAGAAAGCAACGATGGCTCATCGGTGAGTAGAGGAGCTAAGTATACTTTTAGGGACTTAATTTCTATTATCATGTTGAGTATTTTTAACTCTTACTGTAATGTAAATGACATCAAGTCATCTCACGCCTTTTCTAAACCTGACAACTTAAAATGTCAAAAAAGTAAGCAAAATATATTCAGGAGCATCTGAGTTGTAGTTCAAATGTCACTGGTCCCAGTAAGTTCCCTACCATGAGAGGTGCTGACTGGTAAAAGCTTATACTGAATGCTAATTAAAATGATATTTAAAGTTCTTTTAAAATGAAGTGCTTTGTGTATAACTTTCAAAAATTAAATGCTAAAAATAGGTTACAGAGCAGAAATGATAAATTGGCATATTGCACTAATGAATTCTGACCTGACCTTTAAAAGGCTAGCAAGTATCTTATAAACATCTCTATGTTAACGATTTTATAACTGATTGAAAATACGAACTAGCATCTAAGAAAATACTGAGTATCTTTTATAAGTACAGTGAGTTCTCCTTTGATATCCTATTAATAAGAATTTTTTATTAATCAGCACATCCGTTCTGACATACACAAAATGACTCACATGATAGTGGATACCACAGGCTTAATATTTAAACCAATTTAAAAGTTTTAATAAAAATTATCACATTTTTTATTATTCAGTTTCCCTGACTACATCAATGCCAACCTTACACCTGGGTTCTAACAGCTCTACACACAGGTGGCAGCACCACTCTTTTGCCCAGCAGCTTACCAATGAACAGCCTCCTCTTAGAGTAATGGAAAGTGAAAACCATCATATCAAAAAGCAATGTTCTAGAAGCAATAATTCACAGGCTGAGAAGGGAAAGAACCTGTGTGAAGGATCTACAGGTAACCTGTCTGGAAGCACGGGGTTCTGGGCGCCAACACCCCACCTCGCTGCATGCACTGAGTTGTAGCTTCACATTGCGAATCAGTGGACTGAAAGCAGCCAACTGAACACGAGTAGCTTCTCACTGCTGCTGGATGCAGGACTCGCCCTGACACACAGCCTCCACTGGGCCGTGCCTTCTGGTTCTAAGTAAGCTGTGGAGAAAGTAAAGGCTTGTACCCAACCCATGCAACAGGTGTCCACCTGTTCACAGTGACCTGGGCACCACTGCAGACGGCAAAGCTAAGCCCTGCGGTGACCGTAAGTTTCTCCTTCTAGGCAGTGTGAGCACTGAGAGATGCAGCTCACAGATGCTCCTCCCCATGGGACCTGCTCAGTGGAGGGGAAGAGGTGACAGCGGGCATAAAAGGCACCCTCTGCTCTCACCCCAGCTCCATGTAAGGAGAACAGCATGTCCTCTGACCGATTTTAAGTATCCTTACATGGTTGGATTTGAGAGAGGATACTGAATACAGCTTTGAAGCAGTGCTTCCTGGAATTTAAGTTTCTGTCTTTCTAAAAATTAAAAAGCCATACTCTGTACTCACGGAGCAATCTTCATCCACTATGAAAATGGTGCATTTCTGCACCTGCATAAAGGAAATAATAGTAGCAGCAATTTTCTTCAGAATTACTTCCAATGATTGTTGTTCTTCAAATATTAAGCTAGCGAGGTCAAGCAGCACCTGGACCAGGAAAACGGACAGCTAATAACTTTGAAGTTATTTGTGGTTAATAAAGCAATAACTATAAAGATTTGCAAGGGTTATAAGGTGTTCACAAAATGTAGAAAGTTATGACCAAGTCTCAACTTTAGTATTAAATTTCTTTCTGTTTATTGACAAAATTCCCTAGTGTCTATAAGTATGGTTAGCATAGTGGTTAAAATCACAGGCTTTTAAGTCAGAGTAATTAGTCATTAATTCTGACTTCCCTTCCTGCTAAGTTTGAGGCCTAAGGCAAGTTTTGTGAGGGTTGAATAATTTAATATTTATAGCACATTTTGAACAGTAACTGTTATGTTATATACAATTACTGCTGTTATTCCAAACTTCTGAGATCAACATTTATCAACATGACCAATATCTAAGACTCAGTGAGTACTCTCCCAGGGAGAGCTGAAGAGCTCCTTTTGTGTCTCCTGAAATGCGTCTTTCCTCTGAGCACCACAGAATTTCTCCTGATCTCACAAACCATTTATGTGATGAAAGAAAAAAATTTTCCTAGGGATGATTTATTACCGGGATACCATCCCAGGTGAGATGTGGAAGAGGGTCAGAAATCCATCCGATGGAAGGAAGAACGGAAATAGTCCAGCAAAAAAAGAACTGAACTGAGAAAAAGTGGAATACTGGAAGTTTTGATCAAATGTTACAGGAGCAAAGAATACAGAGCAGGACCAGGTGATGAGAACACAGCGCTGGGGAGAGAAGGCGCCCTGGAGCCTGCTGTGATTCGGAAGCAGTTTGCACTGTGATGGACACGGAGGGAGACGACACGGTCACGTCTGTGTTTGTAACCATGAGGCCTGGGTAAAGAGGGCAAGAATGGGGCAGACGAGTTGAAGGATTCTGCAGTTTGAGGCCACGAAAGGTCTAGTATCTTATCAGCATCAGCTCTAAATAAAGAAGAAAAAGAACACAGAAAAGGCCTAATAACATCAAGGACAGGTCAGGGAGGGAAGAACACAGAGCAATAGAGAGAAAAGGAAAAATTAAGAGGTACAACAAAGGTATCGTGCAGAGCATTTACATAGTCACAGTAATTATAAATACGTTATAAATACTGCAACTTGAGAATCAGGACAGACAAGCTGAGAACAGTTCATCATGGCTGCAGAACAAGATGCCTGCTACCAGTGTGGGCCAAAAAGAAAAAGTCCAAATGGAAGAAGCAGAGCTCTGGTGTGGTAGCTGGGAAAGACAGACAAAGCAAGGCAGAGACACCAAAATGAAGGCAGAGCCTAGAGCTGATAAAGCAAAAACTAAAGACCATTTCACAGCATACACGCACCCCACGCGGTGACTGCACACTGACTTAACCGTAGGTAGGGGGAGGGCGGCGGCCAGTGAGGAAGGGCCAAGGCAAACCCTCGCCTTCCAGTCAAGGCCTTTCATCCACCAGTGCTAGCAACGGAGCACGGGGAGCAGGAACAGGAGGAGCTGTCACTATCAGAAGACACTGCTAACGTATTTGGAAACTGAGACTACTGGGTTTTCCATGCTGTGCTCCCCTTACAGGGATTACAGTTTAACAGGAGGGTAGGCAAGGTCACCTATTGGCTCAGTGTGGTGTGGTACTCACCTGATTTCTCCTGTTCTCCAGCAGTGATGTTTCATAGAGCTGGGCGTTGTGAAGAACAATACCACAAAATGCCAAATAAGCAGCGAAGTCCTAGAAAACAGAAAAGACAGAAAACCGAATAAAAATTGCTTACAAAATAGTCTACTAATGTCCAAAACATAAAAGATACTAAAAATATTTACTTTTGAAATAAACATTAAAAGCCAAAAGTTTAGACATCCATTTTGTATAAAATTAGGAACTTTCTTTACAGCTGAGTAGTACTCCACTGTAGAGAAACGGCAATCTGAGCAACTATTTTGAATACAACAATATGAATTTTATAATAGTTAATTTCTGATTATCTTATTTTGAAATACTGTATTAATTCTTTTTTAAATAAAAAAAATTAGAAACTGATATAAACCTCTCAAATTGAGAGGGCTCAAGTTTATCCTTCTTTATGGCACAGTAGTACTCCAATGTGTATTAATACCACAATTTCCTTATGTACTTATCTAGCTGCTACTATAAATTGTGCCACTATTAACTCAGGTATTCATGTATCCTTATAATATGAGGATGTTAACTCTTCTAGGAGTGAAGTACAAATAATTCCTCAAGTTACTGTGTTATTTAAAAATATTTCAATATAAATGGTAATTTGTTTCATTTATACCATTAATTTTCTTAGTTCACTGAAAAAAATTTGCACTATTAAATCTTTTTTCTTCTTTGAAAGAATCTACATCTTGTACTCTGAGTAACTACTCTGAAAATATGGTATACAGTGTATTAACTACTGTAATTCACTCATTGTTTTGTTAGGGAGTTTTGTTTTATTTTTTCATAAAGTTAAAAAAATGTTTTAAAAGGTGCACACCAAAGCAATTAAAATTTGAGGCCCATCACAGGTGCCAACATGGCCACAGCGTGAGAACAAAAATAACTCTGCCTTGATTGGTTGTCTTCCAAATTCAAAAGCTCCCACTAATTTTTTTGAGAAGCAACAAAAATAGCAATGGGCTTGGAACAGGAGACCCGCAGGGCGCCGTGATACACACAGAATCACACACGCAGGACAGGAAATAAAAACTACAGACGGGTGAAGTCAGGATGGGTTTAAGGGATTCTTGCAGGAAAGCCATGCCAGTGGTGTGCAGAACATACTCCTTCAGAGCTGGATGAGAAGCGTTAAAAAAAAGAAGTTAACGCTGACTGCTGCTCTTTCTGGAGGCGAATTCACATCGCCCAGCCCAATTCACAGCTCGGCGCCCCGCGGTCTGTGCACAGAGCTTATAAAACACTGGGAAACTGGCTTCACCAGGAGGCAATTCCGATGCTTAGCCAAACCTGAGTGCTGAACTTGGAGCAGGGCTTTTAAGGGTTTTTCCTCAAGGTAGAGCCTCTTTATAGCAGCGATGGAGGATACGTGAGTTAAAGGCTGTAAGTGTCCCTCTGTGTGGTCGAGGGGTTGGGGGGGTCCTGCTGACGGTCACTTAGGTACTTGCCAGTCGAGCCAAAGCAGTCAGCAGCTAAGGAGACACTTCTGAACTTTTCAGATCATTTTCAATCATGGTCTTTTGCATGGTCAATGACTTCAGCAACAGAAAAATCTAGAGGTCTACGTACAAGAAGTCAAAGTTTCTCTCTTATCTGACATCAGCCCAGACTTGGGTTTTGGTACCTTTTCGTCTTTCTCCGTGAATGTCCCGCCATTTCCCGATTTCTTGTTGATGGCCTGGGCTACACCAACGACCTGGTACAAGCAGAGAAAAGTGACAAATTCTTTCTTTGGCTGGCATTACTACTAAGAATTTCTCAAAATGAATGTGATCACAACAGAATATTTCATGTGTTATGTGATTGTACGCTGTGGTTTGAATTAACTAATTAGTAATTACATTTTAAGTCAATATTTCCCACAGTTTTAAAATATAAACAGCTCATTTCTTTACCTTGTAAATAAAATACATAATAAAATGCACACTGTATATTTATTTAAAGTATTTCAAAGGGCTAAATGTCTCTTTGCTAAAAATGAAACAGGATCCAGTGGCCAGCGATAAAAGGCACGCAGGAGATCGTTAAAGTGCAAAGAATCCCGAACACAGCAACGTAGCCGTCCTCTTTTGAAATGTCTGCTTTTGAAAATTGACCTTCAAAAGAGTTATTTTTTTGGGAAAAGGTTGCTGAAATTCAAAACAGGATTTAACATGTGGAGTCTTATTTCAAAAAGATTAGAAGTCATTTGAAAGAAAAACACACCTTAAGATGACTAAGCTGAACTCCAAGTACGTCTTAAGGTTTCTCAAACGATTCACTAAGAACATTTTCATCTGTCTGTTTAGAAGTATTTTTTTTTTTTACTTACTTGTTAATTCCCAGCTTCAATCTGAGTCACTATCTTATTTTTATAAAGACCTTCAACTTCCACTTCCTCTTTATTATTCAGAAATTCTTCTCCCTTTCCTTGTGCAATTTAGTATCAGTGGGATAAGCTAATGTCCCCTGCACATCACCCTGTCGGAATACGCAGCTCTTAGTTCCATGCGCCAGGTCCATCTCTGATTTCTCAGCCCTCTCTTGTGCCTTCGCTTTAATTAATAACACAAATTTCCTCTTCAGAATAGCAGAACAGACAAGGAAAACACATTGTTGTCTCATGTAGTTTTTGGTTCTTCTCAAGTCAATCTCTCTCTCTCTCTCTCACTCTAATAATGTTAATTTAAGAAGCAAAGCAGAATTACTCATTTATCCTAAATTTTCTGATTGCCCTTAGTTCAACTTTCCCTTACTTTCCACACATTTCAGCTCTTGAAAATAACAGATTTCTGGATGCTTCAGCCTCACAGAGGAATGACTCGGAAAGCCTAAGGTCATACACATCTGGACGGCAGCTGGGCACATTCACTGGACATGTAACTGACGAGGACCACTGTTCAATACAGAACAGGACATCTCTAACTCAGTTACTTTAAGTACTCATTCATTCATTTATTTACTCAGCAAATCCTGAAGTGCCTACTATGTTATCAGTGATAAAAACTGGAGAAAAGGCCACCCCGGAGGAGTTCAGAATCCAGCGTGTGTGTGGGGGGGGGCCACAGCAGGACCAAGTGATGAGTTTTATGACACATGTGCCCGCAGATTACTAGAAGTGCTAATGGGTAAAGGAGCTCAAAAACACACAGAGGCAAAACACCAGGGGCTTTTTACCAACTACATTAACACTTCAGTGCATCACTATGCTACCATAAACTTACAGTAAGATGAGAGCTTCTTTTAAAGTCTTACAGAGATTAAATAATAGGTTTACACAAAGATAGGTTACACAAAGTATTTTTCTGAAATCAGGGCCAGTTAAAATGAGGTGGTTGGCGTCACTTGAAAATGAGTTCAAAATTACTCGGGCTGGTTGTCTCCCTGAGCCCCAAGGCCACGGGCTACAGATCCCTTAACCTGGTGACTCACAACGTGGGTAGATGGATAATACTGGCATCGAGGGGCACTGATGGAAGAGAAGAGGATGCATGATGTTCTGTGGGTGGGTCAGGGTGCATCACTATGTCACAGAAAGGCAGAACCAAATGACAGCACTTCCAGGGGTCAGCAATGTCCTCTGAGCATGAATGCACAGGCTGCTGTAGACATGCGTGGAGACCCCAAGGCACACTCACTACTGAAACCGATGCCCTGGTTGCAACTGAAATTCTACACTCAGGAATGTTTATAAGGTAACACTGCTTCTATCTGTGGGCTGAAAATTTTTCTCCCTAATTAAAAAAGAAAAAGACTTTCCTCAAAGCCATTCCACAGTGTATGCCATTACCCACAATTTTCACTCACAGTTCACGCAGTTCAGTAGCTGGATTTTCATTTCTAGAATTCCTTGTAATTCTTTTTACAAACTCATAAAAATCAAGTGCCTGTTTCCCTTCATTTGAGTGCACTTCTTGTGGCTGTAAGTTTATCCTTAGCAGGATGTTTCCCAGAGTCTCCTGCTCCCTACAGCACGGAGGGTCCACACTCAGAGCTTCCCTGTCAGTCTCTGTAATGTCAGGTGGTGGAAACTCGAACTCCCCACCCGTGGGTGGCAGAGGCTCTCGTCTCGTGGTTCCTAAGCGTCTTTTCTTTCTCTCCCAGCTGCAGGCAGAAGGCAAGCTTCCTTGCTGCCTGTCCTGGCCACCGAGGAGCTCTGCTAGGCTCAGTTGCATGGACAGGATTTTACAGACTACAACTTTCCGAGAAGTCTGGCCCCAGCTCTCCAGCTTGGACTCAGCCCCACTCTACGGATGGTCCCCGCAGGCACTGCTCCCACCGTGCCCGACCTCAGCACCGTCAGCCGATTTGGCTTTTGGTCACTTGCTTTTCATACCTTAGACTTCTGACACCTGTGGTTTTTCCTATTCTTGATCCCATTTGTATATTTTAAGAACTGTTTTTCATGTAATTTTGTCTCCTACTTGACTAGGGAATGGAAGATATTCTTTTGCATCTATTACAGCTTTACAAGCCTAGTACATCAGCTCCAAAAACATACTTTTATCCTCTGAGCACCAGATGTTTTGCTAAGTAGATGTCCTGCCGTGTTCACAGGGAATTGTTTCTGGCCACCCCAACGACTAAAATCTGAGAATGCTCAAGTCCTGCATATAAAATGATACAGTCTTCACACATGACCTATACAGATCCTCTCATATGCTTGAATTCATCTTTAGGTTACTTGTAATAATCGTAAATGGAAATAGTTGACATACTATGTTGTTTGGGGGATAATAACAAGAGAAAAAAAGTACATGTTATTTATAGCTATGATTTTCCCAAATATTTTATTTAGCAGTTGGCTGCATCCATGAGTGGAGAATCTAAAGATAGGAGACCAGACCACATTTAATTTTTTTCCTCCAATATTAAAGAAAGACTATTTGACCAGAAAAATGTATCTAAAATGTATATGTGCCTTTGTGTCCAATGATGACATTTTACAAACACCATTGATTTAAAAAAGAAAAAACAGATCAAAAATAGAAGCGAAGGTATGTTTGTCCAAAGTCACAAAGACACCAAATTTTCTGAATTAACAACTCAAGCAAGACCAGCACCTTCTGCCCTCCTCATGTTGACATAAAGTCCTTTCTTCTGACACCAGTTGCTCCTTTAAGCAAATCAGTTCATGTTTTATAAGTAATCATTACCTATACATTTTTAAATGTCAATGTCCAAAGGCAGCTTTTTATGCAAGTATGTATCCTGTTTTATGCCAGCTGAGGAGCCCTCCCTCAAAAAGGTCAGCTCTGGGAGAGCTCTCTCAGACTGCTCACTCTCTGGCTACCTGGACCTTCAAACGCAGGGCCTCACTGCTATGCTTTTTAAGCATAAAGAAGCCTCCCTGTTTTGTAATTTACTGACACTTTCCACACTGTAAACAGACACCATGCCCTCACGGGGTTGAGTGTTCTTTCAGGAATGTAAAAGGACAAGACTTGACTCTTGCTGGACGAGCTGTGTGGAATGTGACAGCTGGCTGCTCCGGGGGCAACTGATCACTGCTAAAGTGATCTTCTTCAATAAGCAGCTGCCCTAGACATTCACCGAGGCCGTGCAAAATCTCAACACCCTTCCCTGTTCCCCCTTCTCAGGGATGCTTTGCATGAAGACAAAAAGCACGGGAGAAAAGGAACACTGCAAACCTCAGTCCTCCCTCCTCCCTCCTGTGAAATGCCTTGATCACCATGATGAGATTCTAGATAATAGATGACATTCTAGATGAACCTCTAGATAATAATTCTAGAGCTAAAATCCTGTATTTCTTCAAGACAGAATTTACAAGGAGTCACTGGAGAATTCTAGCCTCTTCTCTGCTTCATTCATTGATTTATTTTGCAATAAATATTTTATTTGACTGACAGTTATTAAGTGCCTATTATGGAACAGTCTCTGTTGCAGGCAATAAGCACAAGGTGAACAAGACAGAAAAAATGCCTGTCTTCACAGAAGTGACATGCTAGTCAGAGAATGTTAGGGTCAAAAGGGAATCTCATTCCCTTCTTTTCCACCCATTTCACAGATGAGCAAACTCAAGGTAAGAAGGCTGATAGTAATCCAGGTTGTTTAACCTCTCTTCCAAATGCTATGCAGTCATCTAAATACGATACTATTCCATGTGGTAGGCAAAATATTGCCCCCATAGACCTCCCTGTCATAATCCTGGGAACCTCTGAATATGTTACCATAAATGGTAAAAGGCAAATGGCAGATCCAATGAAGTTAAGGATCTGGAGATGGGAAGATGATTCTGAATCATCTGTGTGGGGCTAAGTGTTCACACGGTGCTTGCAGAGAGAAAAAAAAAGCAGGAGGGTCAGACTCAAGAGACCTGAAGTGTCACACTGCAGATACTGAGGCTGGAAAAGGTGCCACATGCACACAACCCATGGAAGCTGGAAAGGACAAGAGAACCATTTCTTTCTTTGAGACTCCGCACAGCAACGCAGCCCTGCAGACACCTGGATTTCAGCCGGTGAGAACTATTTTGCACTCTGATCTCCAAAGCTGTAACACATTTGTGTTGTTTTAAACCACAAAATTTTGTTGATTTTTGCAGCAGCAATGCAAAACTAATCTGTTCACTAAATTATTAAAGAATCTCTTGTTTTCCCATTCCTTTTTACAGTTTCTCTCACCACATACTGTATTTTGTTTCACCAAATAAAAGCACACTTTCTTTGAAGTCCCTGATATCTTGTTTCTAATCGT